GGGGGGGATGGATATGAAGGGCGTTTGGGAGAGGGGCGGTGGACGAGGGAACTACATTTTTGTCCATCAAATTCGACCGGCGTGCCGATAAACCTGGCGTTTCTTCTTTTCTTTTATGATAATACCACCAACAAACCATTACTAATTTTCATGATGGATGGATGAGAGGGAATGAAAGGGAGACTGGAATAAGGCGGAATGGAATGAGGGGAGTGCTACTCCCTTTTCATAAGCGAGCTTTGTAAGATTAAGATAGATAAGATAAATAAGATGGAATAGGAATATATATAGGTAGTGTAGAGTACTAATTAGCCGATAATAAGATTAAGGGAAGTAATAAGAAGGAAAGTAGTATTTATAAAACTACTTAACTCTACTTAAGTAGTATAAGCAATAGTTAGTACGTCTTCCTATAGCGCTATTACTTATAGTTAAGTAAAGTAAGTGTCGCGTAGAAGTAAGTGTTATATAATATAGCGTTTTCTCGGAATATTAAATTACTATATAAACTACACCTAAAAAAAATATATAAATATAATTAACTCCTAACTATAACTTATTAAAACTATATAAAATCTATATTCTCTTAAACTAAACGAACTAACTTAGTACTATTCTAATTTAACGATTTAGTAGAATTCTTAATTATATAGCTATTTCTAGAATGAGGTAGTATAAGGTTTAATAAAGCGGGGTTAATTCTTTCTTCTCTAAAGAATATTATAACCTCCTAGTTATTATTATTATTTAGGTCTTCTAGTTTAAGATAAGTTTTATACTCTCGAACGTTTTATAATAGAGACTTATATAATATTCTTTCCAGAGTTGCGCTATCTTAAGTATAGTAGGTTTCTTTTTAGGGTCGCGAATTAAAGTAGATAATAAAGTAAATATAAGTAAACTATAAGTGACTAAATTACTTTATTCGAGCTTTTATACTCTTTTATTCTTTTAAGCTTAAATATTTTATATATAAAAAGAGTTTCTTAATTTATTAACTATTATTTTAAGCTTAACCTTAGTCTTATATAAGTTCTCTAGCCTATTCTATTAATCTTTTTATACTTTTATTATTCTAGTCTTAAATACTAAAATTACTCTACCTTTATAAATACCTTTTCGAGATAACTACTTATATTTATAATTCTCTTAGAGCTTTTTTTGTAAAGTAGTAAAATTAACTATAGTTAAATAAACTTTCTATAATAAAACTTTAATAAATTATATTATAGTTTTAAAAAGCTCTTTTAAAATATCTAAGAATTATATTAGATTACGATTTTTAAGTTATTATACGTTTATAATAAGATAATATAACTAGTTAAAATATAGAGTAGAATTTAGTAGTAACTCTAGATCTTTCTTATTCTTTAATAATCTCTTCTTCTTTTTATATTTACTTATCTTTTTCTTAATTACCTTCTAACTTAGTTATTATTCCCTTAGTTATAACTAGGAGCTCCGTGAATTATCGCTTATAGAGGGTAGAATATTAACTCTTTTAATATTTATATTTATTTATTATTGTTGTGCTGGGTCTACTTTCTCTTTTGCTCCACTTCCTTATTTGATCCACTTATAGTTCTGCTGCCTAAATGCTTCATGTCTGCCTAAACCTTACACTCTTTATATAAACACCTTAGATAGCTACCTTTTACAATGCAATCAATTCTCCATGACCTTCAGTACCCAATACCCTTTCAACCCTATAATTATTTACCCTTCATAATACTAAAAGATTTATAACTAAATATAAAAGATCTAGCTACTTACTATTTATATATTCTACTATTAAATTAGCCCGAAAAACGTATTTCGACTATAATAGTACTAGTACTAGTTTATACTAGATATTGTGACGGTTCTGACCGCCACTACGCTACAGACCAGCCCCTGGCTGGAACTCGGCTAAGCAGGTGCGCTTGGCACACCTCCTGTATATAAGAGCCTCCAGCTCCTAAGCTTCTGTCCTTTCTTCTCTTCTCTCCTCAGCTTAGAATCTTCGTATAGACAGTTCCACAGTGTCAATCTCACCACTCGTGATACCTGACGTAGTCGTGCACTCTTGCGCGGTCCATCAGCTGTGCGTGTCGTCACAGATATTATACTCTAAAAAGGAGTATATTAAACCTAATTACTAATAAAAGTATAAGAGTAATAATTATATATTAAATCTACTACGTGTATAGTAGATTGAATATTTATTTATATAAAAGAAGGCGGTTATCTTATAGTTTTTACTAAATATAGTTAAAACTAGTATAAATATAGGGTTCTATTAAATCGCTTAAAATTCTTAGTACTATACTTAGGCTACAAAGCTTCTAGCTATAGCTAAGGGAATATTCTAGAGTTCTTCTAAGTATTTATAATTATATATAGTTTTATTATCTTAGTATAAATAGTATAAAGATTACAAAAGAAAAAGGAAACGTTATATTCGAATTCGAGATTATAAAGTACTTAGAATATCGCGAGTTTATAGTAGTATTTCTAGAATTTAAAAATACTAACGTTGAAAGGCTATAGAATATAAGTTAAATATTAAGGGAAGAAGAAAAGCTAAATATTATACTTCTTTATTTTAATTATAAAGGAATTAATAATCTAGTTTAATATTCTCTTATCTCGATATAATTTATACTTCTTCGTTCCTTAGATCCTAAAAGAAACTCTAGAAGCCTTTATATAGGCTAGAAGTTAAACCTTAATAACTTACTAGTTTAGGCTTAGCGGATTAAGACTTACTAGTTTAGGAAGGGAAAAGTAGGTATATAATAAGTTAGTAGAAATATTAAAACTTAAAAACTCGTTTATTACGCGAAGGTAGCTTATAGTAGTACTTCTACCGGTTAGAAACGTATATAATTCGAGGATAAGATAGTACTTAATTAACCCTATAAATCTATCTTATTTTTATTTTATTCTAATATATAGAAGTATTACGTAATAGGTTATAAGGGGCGCTCTACTTCCTTTATAGTAGAGCTCTTTTAGGTATTAGCCGAGGGATATACGCGCTAGTACTATATAAACTTATACTCCCTCTTATATAATTAAGTAAGCTTTTAACTTAATATAACTACTTCTTTTATAATTATTTTACTCCTTTCTTTATACTCTTAGAACTTATTATAATTCCTATTATAATTAGCTAACTATAAGGTAACTTATAGTTATAAGCCTAGTCTAGTATCTAAAGTTTAATTTAAAACTTTAATTCTACCTTTTACTATATCTTAGTAAATATTAAATATTATTCTTATAATACTAAATTCGAATCTATAATAAGATTCTCTCTCCTCTTAATTCAATTATTATAGTATATATTAATATATTATCTTCTTCTCTTTTAAAGCTCTATTTAGGTAAGAACTAGAACCTATAATACTCTATACTTAGGTAACTTATAAGCTTAAAACTTATTTAGTACTAAGTTAACCCTAATACTCCTAATACTCTAAACTATAAGATTTATAAGCCTATCTCTTATATTAAGAATATAATAGTAAGTAAAGACCTTTATAAGTTTAAGTAACTCCTAGTATACTAGGAGTATACTAAATCTATTAAAAAATAGAAGAATAATACTTATTCTATCTATAAGTATAGACTAATACTAGATTACCTACTAATTCTAAAGGTTACTTTAATTAAGAATATATTATATTTATTTATACTAATCTAAAACTAGTATAAACTAGAAGAAGAAGAGTACTAAGATACTTAAAAGTCTATTAAGGAAATTAATTAATTTATCTCTATTACTATAGATATATATTAATACTTTAATATAATAATAGCTCTAGGGTACTATAATAAAAATAGATGGTATATAGCTTAGTCTATAATTTAAAAGCCAGTATCTACTTCAAGACCTACCCTAGAGATCTAAAAGATCTAAGTCTAATAAGATTATCTTTAAGTTCTTATATCTATTAAAAACTAGATTATTAATCTAGCTAAGTAGGTTTAGGAATAGGATAATATATATAACTAGGTATACTACCTAAGTATTCCTAATATTAGTAAACTACTAGTAGGGAAAAATTTTCTTACAGTAGTTATATATAATTAACTACTATAGGCTTAATAATAGATATCTAAAAGAGTAGAATAAATAACTCTTAGAAAGGAAGTAGCTCTAACTAAAAGACTTATAAAGGTGTTTCTTAGTATTATAAAAAATATAAGCGTAACTACTAAGAGGTCTAAGAGCTATTAGGTCTATACTATAGTATTAGATAAACTTAATAAAAAGCTAAGTAGAATAATATTAGGCTATAATAGATACTTAATAAAATATCCTTACTTAAATCTATTCTATAACTTTAGCTTAGAAAAGTATTACTAATTAGAATATACTTTAACTAGATACTATAATCTACCTTTAAAGAAACCTATAACTAAGAAGTATACCTAGGATATTCTTACTAAGCGCTAAGAAGATAAGTTTAAGAAACTAAGAAAATAACTTATTTAATAAGGTTAGCTCTACTTAGATAAGAAAATAGGAATTAAAGTAGATCCCTTTTAAGAGATTAGGTTTATTAATAGCTAAGCTATCTTTCCTATTCTTATATATTAGTACTATCTTAGACCTAACTTGAATAGATATATTATCTAGTAATCTATAGTAGAACCTTAGGATATACTCTATTATACTTAATTTTAGTTATTACCTACTAAGTAAGAGTATTCTACTAGATAACTATAGAGTACTCTACTTTATTAATAGTAAATTATTACTTATTCCTAGTTCTTTTAAGCTAGCTAGACCTAATAATATGGTTAAGGCTAGGACTTCTTATATAAAGATCTTAGGTTATAGGAAATATATTATTAAGAAGGTAATAAATAGCCCTAATAGTCCTAGTACTTAAGACTTAGTACTTAAAAAGGTTACTATTATAAAAAGATTCTATATTAATATTATATCTAAAGCTACCTTAC